TAATATATCTTGGAATTGTTAATAACTTTCCTTCTTTGAGATATATAATTTTAATCAAAGAGATAAAAATATAAAATAAGGAAGAAAAAAAAAGGAATGGTTGATTTTGTTCATTCTATAAAACAAGAGCAACGGCACAAGTGTAGATTCAGATTTGAAAGAGAAAAATGAAGGACACTAAGGAATCCCAAGTTGCCGATTCCAACAAAAACAACATGGATTCTATGGCTTTATCTGATGTTGTTGTCACCTACGATTTTGAGATGGGACAGCCCAGTGCTGAAGTTCCTCCGCCGTTTGCCGCCGCCAGCAACTCATTGTTTCCGGCGGCACCTATCGGAATGAATGGTATGCATCATTCTTTTTCTATTCATTTTGTGCACATTTCATACAAGTCTCATATATGCATGTGTAAATACTATGGCGGACTTTAAATTTAATTAGTCTCTATGTTATTAATCTTTTGATTTTTGCTACACAAAAATCAACTATTGATTAACTATTTTTTAGAGATTGAATTTAATTTGATTTTTTTTATTAACTATTGATTGAAGATAACTTTTTTTTTTTTTTTATAGTTAGAATAAGTTTGTAATAATATCTAGAATTATTTTCAAATAAAGTGAACTAAAAATAAATAAATGAGTAAGTTTTAGCGTAAATTTGTGGGATTTGCTAATATATACTTTTTTATATTTTAAAATAGGTATATTAACAAATTATAATTATAATTTGACTTAAATATGATTTTGATTCATATAAAATGAATGATTTTTTATTTTAGTTCTTTTAAATATTTTTTTATTTTTTATTCTTCTAAAATTTATAAACATTATTTTTATCCTTGTAAAATGAGTAATATTTAATTTTTGTCATTATTATTAATATTTAATTTTGACCTGTAAAATCTAAAATTACATTTAAGTCCTTAATTATCATTTTAATGTACACAAATACAGATACATATATAACACTTATTTTAAGGATTTATAAAATATTTTAGAAGTAGCATAAGATATTACCCACAATTATGAGTACCACATGTGATTGCCTTTTAACCTTCTAATTAAATTTATAAATACTTAAAAAATTATATAATAATAGAGAGTAAAAATAATATTTATAAATTTTAAGAGGATAAAATTAAAATCAAAAATTTTACGGGACCAAAATTTAAATATACTCGTTTTAAAAGAGTCAATAATATATTTAAACCTTATAATTCTTTTTTAAAATAAGCTATTTTAAAATAATCTATCGTGTAACTTATCAACTTACTCTAATTAAAAATATATAGATATAAATTGACACACCTCTAATTAATTATAGATATAAGTTGACACATCTCAAATTAATATATATATATATATATATATATATATATATATATATTAATTATGTTAACAAAATTTAAGAACTTATGCATGTTATATGAGAGTTTAATAGACCCCACATTTTCATTATGGAAACTTACATCAATTATAGTTAATACGAATTTTAAGAATTATTATAAAAGTCAATAAATTTAAATAAATTATTATGTTATTAGAAAGTGAATACTTATTTTAAAAGTTATATTAAATTTTTTGATTTTTATAATAATTATCTTTAAAATAACATTAATGATGATTTATAATTAATTAATAATTAGGAATGAAAACAAGTCAAAACATGATGGAGATAAATCCACATCTCACTTGCAATAAAAACAATAAAATCACTAAAGTAAGTATTAGCTTGACATATTTTTTATTTTCCAAACCATTTTCTAAGATTTGATGTAACTTGTTTAAATATCTAACCTAGCTTAAAAATTTGTTTATGTGGCTTAATTCTATACAAAGACTATAAATAAGTCTACGAGTCTAAGTATTAAAAATATTATTATTGATATTAAAATCAATATTAGTTATAAATTAAAATATAATAAATAAATATATTTACAAATATATAATATTATATTTCATGTTAAATATGTGAATCTATTAAACTTCTTTTGAAAGCTTGAATTTTGTTTTTCTAAGTTAACCATGTTTTTTTTTAGGAAAATTGCACTCACTTATTTGAAGGTATGTTTAAATGATATATATTTCTCTCTAAATTTTAAAAAAATCAACTTCTCTTAAAATAACATAATTAATTAAAGTGAAAGAAAGAAAAAAAATAAAAGTCAATTAATATTGACCAATCATATGTATGTCTTTGTTTTTGAATTACATATAATGTTCTATTTTCTTTATGAGAATTTTCATTTATTCTTCAATTTTAGAAATAATAATTTTTCATCCTGTTATTTGAATTTTTTCGTTGAAGATGATATATTTTTAAATCACAACGTACATGATGTTTTTAAGTTTCATTCAATTATTGGTACTAGTATTAAAAAATTGTTCTATCTTAATAATACACGGATAATGTTATTTTATATAAAGAATTATATATGTTACTTAGATAAATAAATAAGGAATTAATATTCTCTTAATTAAAATTAAAAAGGAAATATGTGTAATTTAAAAAGACCTGAAAAGAGGTAATTACAACTTTCTTTCTTTTAAAGATAATGTTAACAATAATGTTTTTTTTTCTAAAGTTTAAGACTTGGTATTTTTAATAAACAAATCAAACCAAACTTTAAACAAATTAGGTTATGGACACCTGACATTTTACTTGACCAGATTTTATACATTTCATTAATTCTAATTAATGAATAATTATAAAAATATTTTATACATTGATTTGAATTAATAAAATATAATATTAAATAATTTTTAATTTTTTAAAAAATTATAAACTTAATCTATACATTAAAAAAATTTAATTCAACAATTAAATAACTAAAATTTGATTTTGAATACGAGTTAATTCTCCTCTTCTATTTAATTATTAAGACTTTTAAATTTTCTATAAATATAGGTAATAAAAAGTGATAAATTAAAAAATAAAATTGTGTTGATCGGGTTGATGAAATAAATCAACTTAAAAATCAATACTCAAACCTATTGAGATCATATAGGACCTATAGGTTTGTACTGCCTAGAATAAATTTGACAAGCTAACTTAACATACATTATAAATTAAATGCATATTTATTGATTCTTTATAATAAAAAGAAGTTTCCTCTAAAAAAATCTCTTGAAGTTGATACTTACAATTTTTTATATATATAAAACAAACTGAAGCAAACATTTATTATAATTCACGGATGATTAGGTTTTAAGTGTTAGAAACTGTAATTTAAACCATTACAAATAACTTTTTTATTATTATTATGAAATTATTAAATGATGTTGTAATTAAACTGTGATGGTGCGATTAAAGAGAGAGGTGTCTCTTCTTTTAGTGTTATTGTTAGAGATATTTTTGTGGTTGTTTTTTTATCCTGTAATCAAGTTGAGTTCTAGTCTATTATTTATTATATTTATTATTTATTCCTGTAATTGGCATGTAAGCAACCCCATGGGACTAATTTATTATTTATTCGTGTTTTCTGCTAGAATAATATATAATAGTACTGCATCATTTCACTTTTGGAGTTGGTTTGTATTTATCATATATATATATATATATATATATATATATATATATGTTGAGTACGTGTGTTACCATACAATGCATGTTGATTGCAAGTAATTTAATTATTTTAACTTTTGCAGGATCAAATCAGAATTTCTTTCGGGCAACGGTGGTGGAAGTGGATTGCTGTGAGGTTATTACTTTAAATTCATGTACCCTTCTTAAACCCATATCATAACCGATGCATGTGTTATTTTTTATACCCACTTTTAATTTTCTTACAGTTTTACAATAAAGCATAAGTTGCATTATGCCATTAAATATCGTGAGATTCACATCCTTAAAAAAAGTATAATAATATATATAAATGAAAAACATTCTTTATTTTATAAATTTTTATAAAGTTGAATTAGATTCTTAATTCACTTTTTTTTTATTTTTAAAAATACTACTAGAATAATTTTCATATTCATCTAATGACTTGTCAATGTAAGTAGTATCTAGAGCGGTGTATGGTTAAATTTCTTTAATAAAATGATTTGGTTTGAGTTGAAAATATTTTATAAAAATGGTTTAGTTTGATTTTTCTCAAACAATTTGGTTTTATGGTTTGGTTTTCTTTGTTTATCTCGTCCATGTGGTTCAAATTTTCAAAAACAAAACAAATCTAACTGCTTTACAAATTAGAAACAGTTCAGTAACAAATTTGTCTTACATGAAATTATATGGTCCATTTTTCAAGTGCATATGATGTTCATGAATGAACATATGGTTTCAATTATCTAGCTCATAAAAGTAGATTTAGTCCAACGTAAGTGTTCAGTTTGACTTGAGAGGGATGTTAGAGTCATCCCATTTTCTTAAGGAATATATGGTTTCGATTTCTATGGTTTGCTTCGTAAGAGTTCAGTTTGACTTTATTTATTTATTTATTTTGCACATTTTTGTTTTTATATATCTAGCACTAACAATGAAAATGAGGTAACGGGACATGCATTTTCACTTTGATTTAAGGAAGGAAATGTGGGTTCTACAGACTTCAAGACTATAGAAAATGGGTTTTGCTTTTTAAAAATTGTTTTAGGCCTAGAAACAACTCACTGTAAAATTATCAACAACGTGACAAAACAAGTGTTAAACTTTTACACTTTTGAATTATTTGATATTATATTTTTAGTTATTCATATCAAATGTTACATAATTTAGTATTTGTTGATATGTTATTTAGTCATAGGCATTTATAATTATATTTTAATAATATACTATTTGTTAAAATAAAATAGTGTAATGAAATATAAATATTTTTTTTTTGTTTGAATGAAATTTATTTTATAAAAATTTTCAATTTAACAGTTAAATTAATTAGTTTTATATTTTACAGAAAATTATTAAATACTGCAAGTATAAAATTGATTTTATATACATTTGAAATTATCATTTTCTTGGAAAATTCACCTATTATATATATTTTTTTCCAGGATGTTTTAGAGAAAATAATGCCATATGCTGCAAAGAATGAGATTTTCATCTTAGGAGGGAATGGTGAAGTATCGTACATTGAACTTGTGAATCCACAAAAGGCTCCCGTACCAAACACTGTTTTACAAGTTTGTCTTCTCCTTTTCTTCATTACAGATAACTATATCTTATTTATTTATTGCAACGAATATTTTATTTTCATCAACATAGGAACATACTTTACTATTCATGTATATTAATTAGTATTTCCTTCGTTATGTGTAATGCCAAGTTTTTATTTATAGACATGATTTTAAATTCTATACATATAGCTTTGTCTCTATAACATAATGAGATGAATAGTGATTTGCAGGGAAATTTCGAGATATCCGCAATGGAGGGTAATGTTGTACGACAATACAACGGTGACAAGAAGAAAATGAGTGAGGTGACAGTTTTAGTGGCCGGAACTGATGGTCGGATTCGAGGAGGACCTGTACGAAGCTTAATTGCTAAATCCTCAGTTAAGGTTTGTTTCATTTTGCATAATACTAAGTTCCTTATACTTTCTACTTTCTACATTCTACACAACTTATTTATGCTTATTGTCTCAACCTTGCATTGTTTCATTAATTGAGAGGTAACAAATTAATTCTTAAAATTTGAAATTTGTGCAGGTGATTGTGAGCACAACGAGTAAATGTGATGTACATGGCATGGTAAGTAAAGAATATCCTATGGGAAATAGGCATCCACCATTCGAGGACCAAGCTAAACGTTTGGAAGATGTAGTGGATCAGATTTATAAGGAAACATTGAAGGAGCTCAATCAAACAAATTAATACCTAGGGAGGGTGTGTCCAACTACCCCAATGTTCTGGATCTTATTAATTTACTTCATTTTTTTATGCTTTCTTTCATTATTACCCATAAATATTAGGTTGTGACATTTTGATTCCCAGAAATAAGTCGATTTGGCCCATCAAAATGTTTAATATGTTACAAACTGCTTGACATAAAAACAAGTTGCAACTTGGTTGTCAATGTTAGAAACAAGATTTTTTTCAAAGGAAAAAGTATTGTAAAACTAATATTTTTAGGAAAAAATATTTTTTTACAGAAATTTAGAAAAAAAAATATTGATTTTATTAAAATTTAAATTGATATTTATTTTTCATATTTATCGCAAACATAATTCATAGATGATTGAATTAGAAGTCACAATTCAATACCTTACTGAAAGTATGCATAAGGTCGCAAATTCTAATATTATTGTGATCATTGTATAAAAAAAATTAGTGAAAGTACTTTGTATTACTCTAGTTAAAGATCAAATTCAACATCAAATATCGAAGTCCACACACTCTCGAGAATGAATTTCATGTTATAAGTCCACATGACTTTTTTCTGACATGTGTAAACAAAAAAGAGATTAATAAAATATCTAATCACTCACTTTTCTTCACCATGAACAATATTTTACAACAACTCGATCTTACACCATTAATTACTAACATGATTAGCTTCATATTTATGTTAGTAGCTTTTCATATAGATACTTTAAAATTATAGATTACGTAAGATGAAGTAAAAAATAGAAATGTGAAAGTAACTTCTAGCTTATGAGTCAATTTGACTAAATTTAACTCACTATAAATATAACTTATAAAAAAAGTGTTAACTTTCTTATAGGTTAACTTAGTTCGTCTTACTAACTCATAGGATGAAAAAAGTTAACTTGGGTGAATTACTCTCTCAATTTTTTCATTACATCTATCGTTATTACTTTTTAGTATGTTTACATTTCAACCATAAACACTTAAACTATTCAACTTAGAGGTATCGAAACATAACCCATATAACTCATCAAAGCGGTGGAGTTGCATCTTTTTGCTTAAAAATTTACTAATAATGCTTAAACTTGCCTATAAATTGTGTTTGTTAAACATGGCTTCTATACTAAATGAATTAAACTTAGTAAAGCATGTCCCTTTCATCAACAATGTAACGCATAGTGCACATTTTCAAAACAAGTAATTGTTGCGTGTTTTTCTTTACGATATATCATTTATTTACCTGTATATTTTAATGAATGCATTCATGCACATGACAACTTTGAGATACTAATTTTAAGTTTTTCAATGATATTTAATGAAAAGGTTAACAAAACACTTTCTTGAACATACACTTCTTTATTAGCTAGTTATATTAATTTAGTTAAACTTTAGTCAATAAGAATAGGATTTAATGGTCATGTACATTGTCAATATAAAATATTCAACTACTTAAAAACCACTAATGATTATATAAGGCTATTTTCAATAACGTGTTAAAAAGAATATGTTGTTCACAAGCTTCAATAATTCACTTAGATGTTAATCTTAGAAATACACATCATGCAATCACATTTCCATTAATATTTTAAGTGAAATGTTATTTATGAGTTAATTAAAAAACATGTTCAGTTACATTCTAATATTTTTAGGAATATTTTTCAAATTCAAAAATAATTTAAATAAAAAATATTTGAAAATTTTATTAAAATGCGTTGAAGAATATAGAAATATTATATTCTCGAGAATATTTAAAGAAAAAAAAACTTTTCATAGTTTTATTTTTCCACGATCACCAAATTTACTTATATTATATCAAAGAAATGGAGAATAATCTTACTTAGTTATTTTTTTCCCTAAGAATTAAAAAGATGAATACGAAAAATTAATAATAATAATAATAATAATAATAAATTATACATTTGTAATGAAGATATAAATGTCATCCCAATATTATATTTGAAAAAACTTAAACATGTCATATTTAAAAAAATTTACTTAAGTTTCATCCCAATATTATTGAAAGGTATTTTTATTAAGATGTTTATTGGATGAGTTTATTTGGATCCTTATTCGGTCCAAAAGTATTCTAGAGTTAATTTTGTAAGCTTAAACTTACTTGATTAATAAAATTCTGATAAATACAAGAACAAGATTAAGTCAACTTAATTTATTGGTTGAATATATTAATTTTAACATTACATGTAGTTAAATTGTAAAATTAAAAAACTTACAACTACATTAAGGTATATTTAATAATATATATTTCAAAATAATAGTATTAATATAAATATAATATTATGTTAGGTAAAATATGACTTATATATTAATCTAAAAAAGTATATTATAAATACATAATTATTTAAAATTATTAAATGTATGATATTAGAAGGATAATCTAAATGTATTCTCAAAATATATTGAGTCTAATTTGTTAAACTTGAATTGCTAGATGGAGCGAGATATGAAGAAGAGGCATAGTTTTTGTGGTGAAGCGTTTATGGAAACCCATACCTCAATAATTTGATAGTTTTAGTGAAAGTTGAAATAAGAAACATATGCATATGATTGCATGAATGATAGGAGGCAAGGGAGAGAAGAATAGAGAGAGTTGAAAGGTGCAGGCTAGTTTTGCTCGGATTGCCTAACATGTGAATGAATGAAGTAGTAAATACTAAATTCACAGAAGAAGAGGTGTGAAATGATGAGAGTGAGCCATGAAGATGAAGGAGTGGATGATGGATGATGGATGATGCATGATGCATGATGCATGATGCATGATGCATATGATGGTGGTTGGTTGGTTGGTTATGGTTATATACATATATATAAATAGGTGTAGGAGAAAGAGGGTAACATGTAGATGGGCTTCGCCTCAGCCTGAGGGGACACAGCACGTGAGTCTGAATGCGATATCAGATCATGGGACTATAGAATTAGAGAGAAAATTATATATATTTTATTATTATTATTATTATTATTATTTGAGACATGCATGAGCATGACACAACGTGACCCTCACACACTAACCCAGTCACCAATCTACCTGTCTGACCATCACTATTGCCACGTCGAGAGTTGAGAAGCTAAGTGGTTATTTAAGGAAAAGGAGAAGGGTAAATAAGGAAAGAAAAAAAGTGGCGCATAAGACAAAATAAAGAAGGAGTAGAAGAAGCGAGGAAGATGAAGAGAAGAAGAAAGGAGTGAGAGAGAGAGAGAGGATGCAATTGCAGTCTGCAGAGATGTTGTTGTTGATAGTACTAGTACTGGCAACTCATCATCTGTCACAATCCATTATCTTGCACCACTAACTCAACCAAACCTTTCAGATGGAGTGCTGGACGTCGGTGGACGCGGTGGTGGAGGAGATAATGAGGATCCACCGCTCGCTGCCGCCGAGGCCGGCCATGGACGAGGTGGAGGCGGCCAAGAGTCTGATCGTGAATGTGGAGAAGGAGGAGCAGGCGAGGATGGAGTCCATGGCGAGGCAGAGCAAGGGCGTGGAGGTTCCCGAAGAGCTCTTCATGGTGCTCCAGGAGATGCAGAGGAACGCGACTTACTTCCACAGCAAGGAGCAGAAGAGAGAGGCTCTCAGACTCCTCGATCTCGACACCCTTCATTCCCTCTTCGATCAATTCATTCAGAGAGCTTCTAATTGCGTTTCCACACCCTCTTACTCCAACGCCTCCACCTCATCCTCGCTTTCCCTTACTTTCTCTCACAATTTCCTTTCTAATTCCGTTTCCAACCCTGTTTTTCACAAACCCCCGCCCGCTACTGCCGCTTCTACAAGAGTGGTCACACGCGATGACACTTATGTCACCAACTCCAACTCATCGTTTTACTCCAATGGCCATGGACTTCAACTTCAACCAACTATCCCTTCCAAATCCAAATCCCATATATTCGCTTCATCTTTGAAACCCACAATCGCCGCAGGTAAAGCTACTCGATATTCAATTCACGTTTTTCTTAATGCTGTTCCTGCTAGTACTAGTCGAGTAACGAATTGGATTTTATTGGGTGCCTTTGTTATTTAGTTGCTTTGGTGTTGGAAACGAAATTCACCCAGTCTTTGTTGTGTAGGTCAAGATGGGGATAAGTTGAGTTTGATAAAACTTGCTAGCTTGATTGAAGTTTGTGCAAAGAAAGGAACACGTGAACTCAAATTGCAGAATAAGTTGATGGATCAAGTTGATTGGCTGCCTGATTCTATAGGCAAGTTGTCGAGTTTGGTGACTCTTGATTTGTCGGAGAATCGGATTATGGCCTTGCCGGCCACAATTGGAGGACTTTCTTCGTTGACCAGATTGGACTTGCATTCCAATAGAATCACGGAGCTTCCTGATTCTGTGGGGAATCTTCTAAGTCTGGTCTATCTTGATCTAAGGGGAAACCAGTTAACTCTTCTGCCTGCTTCTTTTAGCAGATTGGTGCGCTTGGAGGAGCTTGATTTGAGTTCAAATCAGCTTTCAGCGCTTCCTGACTCTATAGGGTCACTTGTTAGCCTAAGAATATTGAATGTGGAAACCAATGATATAGATGAGCTTCCGCATTCTGTTGGTAATTGTTCTTCCCTTAGGGAGCTTCGTGTTGACTATAACCGGCTTAAGGCACTGCCTGAAGCTGTTGGCAAGATTCAGAGCTTAGAGATTTTGTCTGTGCGGTACAATAACATCAAACAACTACCTACCACAATGTCGTCTCTAACAAACCTCAAGGAACTTAATGTGAGTTTCAATGAGCTAGAGTCGGTGCCTGAGAGCTTGTGTTTTGCCACCTCGCTTGTCAAAATGAATATAGGAAACAATTTTGCCGACATGAGATCCTTGCCGAGATCCATTGGGAACCTTGAAATGCTTGAGGAATTGGATATCAGCAATAATCAAATACGCGTGCTTCCTGAATCGTTTAGGATGCTCACTCGACTACGTGTTCTGCGAGCGGAAGAGAATCCTCTTGAAGTTCCGCCGAGAGAAATAGCTGACAAGGGAGCACAGGTAAACTGCCCTTTTGGTTTTCTTGTTTGATGTTGTTCCTTTGGTATTTTAAATAAGAGCTTTCTGTTTATTTAATCTCAATTTTCATGTGTTGGTGCATCCTAGGCTGTTGTCCAGTACATGGCTGAGCTTGTGGAGAAGAGGGAAAAGAAGGATGTTAAATCACAGCCTCTTAAGCAGAAAAAGAGTTGGGCTCAGATCTGTTTCTTTTCGAAGTCTAACAAAAGAAAGCGTGACGGGGTTGATTATGTGAAAACCTGATTTCATTCAATGACACACCATTGCTGGCAAGCGACAGATTCCATGTGTAAGTTGAGTTGTTTTCTAGGTTTATGCATCTACTTTAAAATTGGTGTTTGGGTGTTAATCATAAAATAGTTGTTCTAGGCATAATTTATTAGTGTTTAATTGTTTATCCCTCTGATTAATTTAGGGTGCATTTAGGTATAAACAGCTTGATTAAGAATTGATTCAATATTCTCGTATCATGTGAGAGCTCATCTCATAAATTTAACCATGAAACTAATTGAAATAAACTAAAGTAACTTATTTTGGTAAGCTTAACCAAGAAATTAATTAATAAGAGCTTATTTTCATAAGATTAAATAAGCTTCACATAGGCTCTTCCAAACACCCGTCTCCATTGCTCACTACTTGTTGCACGGTTGGATTTCTGTAGAGGGAATGCTAGTAAAGTGGGAAGGCATGGCTGCTGATGTTTACTGTTTTCCTATGTGACAGGGATATGCATTTAAAGTAGAGACAAATATATCTATGTGCCGTCAATAATATGCAAAGATATGGATCGGGCAGGAATGAATTGAGAGCCTTTGTAGGCTGTTATAATTCTCTTTGACTTGGTGGCACAAATTGTAGATTTCTTGTTCAATATTTTCTGATTTTTTTCCCTGTATAATTTGAATTTTCTATTTATTTCATTTGTATTTCTGTTGTCTTGAAAGTAGAAAGAAGTGTACACAATCCAACAGGCAAACAGAGACGGATAGTGGGGAAGAAACCGAAGATGATTATGTACTGTGGTTATGTATGTACAATTGTAACTTCACTCTGTTACGAATTACAGTTACCCCTTGTACCATTTCCAGAGAATGTCTTCTTTCAGCGGATTATGCCATTTAATGCTATAATGCAGTCTAATATGAATGAAATTTACTTTTCCAAAACTTTTACATGGGAAGAAATTGAAAAATATTCCAAGGACCACTGGCGGAGCTAGGGAAAATTATTCGGAGGGGCCACAATAACTTAAAATAAAATGTAATAGTTTGATAATATAATTTTATAGATATTTTTAATATTTAATAATATTATTTAAATATTAAATAATTATTTTTATTATGTTAAAATATTTTTTTTCTATTTTATTAATAACAATCCTTATCCTTTTTTTAAGACTTTTATATTTCCTTCAATTTTGGAATATGAAAAATTAGAAACAATTTTTCAAAAAAAAATACAAGAAATATATTTTTTGTATACAAAACATAATGTGCGAGAATATATTAAAAAAATGTGTTTAATAAATTTAAAGAAATAACCATATTTTTGTCATAATTATAGTAAAATTTGAAGAAATTTTTTGAAAAAAAAAAATCATAAAAAAAATCTGTATAAAAAAACCTCACATGAAATATTGTGTGCAAGAAAAATTCATAGATTCAAGGCATACTATATAAACTTATAATGAAATAGCTAATGTATAAAATTGTTATTAAATCAATTACAATGGTTGGTGTCATTAAAATTAAAAAAAAACTTAAAAGTGCATTATTGATATAAAAACTATTAAAAAAATAATAACATAGAGAATGACTAAATATCACTTTCTTTATATTCTTTAAATGATTAAATATTTTTTAATTAAATTTTTTCATGCTCTAACTTAAAATTATTAATAACTAAGAAATAAATAACTTTATTTTGTAAATTTTTTTTATCACGACTTAATATTATTAATAATTGAAAGTAAATAATATTTGAATATTTATGCTAAATTTTGTTAGTATATTAAATAAAAATATTTTTTTAATAATCATACACGTATAAAAAAAATTCCTAGAAATTTTATCCCCCCTCATAGATACACTACACTAAGCTCCGCCTCTAGAGACCAATGATGACAATGAGAAGAAGGTAAATACATTAACCACTATCATCATCTTTTACTTGATCAAGAAAAGGAAACTTTTTGAAAAAAAAAAAATATCATCATCTTTTATCAGTTAATAATCACTTAGCAGCCATCTTAGTTCATTTAATCACGTGGGCAGCTGTAGACTAATTTTACATGTTTCATAAATAACCTTTCAAGGAAATTACTTTATGAGAGGGAAAAGTCATAGAAGCAAGTCAATATATTTATAAAGAACAACATGGCCGAAGCTTTCGCCAGTTGTAGCCTAGTGCCGTCTACACTTTTCCTTTCCAATGTATTATTTTAGTTGGATTCTATAGACAGCATCACACCTCAAATGCTCTAGACATGCGTGAATGGTAAAATTATAAGCAAACTTCCCAATAAAACAATAGATGAGCTTCTTAGGCACACTGATTATATTATTTTATTTAATATAATAAAAACTTGAAGCAAAAAAAAGGTGAGTTTTCCATGATTTTTTTTTTTTGTATTTTTTTTGTATTTTCAAGTCCTTAACATTTTCTTGAAAGAAAAAAAAAAACATAATTCCTAATTCTGATTCTATTAATAATTATGCCTCCTTGATTGCCATCCAATCTTTTAGAATGGCCTATTTGACAATTTGGCATTATGGAATATAGTTTACAAAATACTGGCTCTGTCTATTATTAAGACTCGACCATTTGTCAAATTCTGTTACCATGTAGTTACATAAATCTTGATCATAATCATAATTTCTTAGTTCTCTAAAGTGTCTGAGTTTATGGAAAGGGTCCACAAGTTCATCAAACATAGCCATAGGTAATCGATCAATCCCTTTCCCTAGGCAAGTATATTAAAGATTTAAGACAACTTTCACTCCAACCCTAGCAGGTGGATGGGGATGGCAGCCACTAATTATTTCCTTTAACCAAATAAATGTAAAATCTAAAATGTCAAACCTAAGTGCTAAAACATACTCAAGTGTTGCTTTCAAACATGTTTAATTACGGGATAATGAATGAAGGTATCTGAAAATTCAAGATTATACTCACACATGCCAGCTAGTATGGCTTCTCCATGGAACCTAGATGCCAAAAATATAAAAGTTGACACATCTATTTTTTCATCCGAAACAATTTTATTTGAGTTAAACAAATTTATTATTATAAACAATAATTTTTTTTCTTCGAAGTATTTAATATAATTATATATAAAATTTTAAGACAACTTAAATTGAAATAACACCGTGTCAAATTCAAATATAATTATGAATCTTTTAAGATAAAAAAGAAAGTGTTGATAGAGAATCAATTATATACGCATGTATCTCTTTCTATTCTCTCTATGATCTTTTATATTCATATAACATTCATGGAAGACATAACTATATACGCGCTAATATTTACATAAATGAGAGTAGTCTTTTTATTACTTTTCAATTCTCAGTTTTTTTAACAAGAATTTGGATTTCGTTATTTTTCTTTTTAAAGTTAAAGATAATATTAATTAATTTTTTGTCTATCATATTGTAACGAGCATAAGGCTAAGGAGGGGAACCATCCCTCAAAAGCCGGCCCAAGAGGTTGGAGAACCTCCCGCCTTATAAGGCCTCCCTGGTAAGGAGACCTCCCCGATGTGGGACTTGTTACATTACCACCCCCTTCGAAAGCCAGCGTCCTCGATGGCTGCACTCCACGGTACTTCACTCATCGGCACTTCACTCGGCCCTTGCCGGTCAGCCCCCTCCGATGGTCAGAACCCTCCGTGGGTAGCCCTTCTCGATTTGTCTGGCTCTCAACGCGAGCACCCTTATAACGAGCCTAAGGCTAAGGAGGGGAACCATCCCTCAAAAGCCGGCCCAAGAGGTTGGAGAACCTCCCGCCTTATAAGGCCTCCCTGGTAAGGAGACCTCCCCGATGTGGGACTTGTTACACATATCCTTATTTTTATCTAAATTTCAATTAATTTTATACAAATTACTGGAATTGAGATAATAGTGAAGAGTTGAGATTGTATATATGAATCTACTTGTTGTCATCATTGAAAATTTCATAAATAGATAAAATAAATTAATGTACATATTTATTGTGAGGTAAAAATGAAAAAAAAAAATATAATAAGAAACTTTAAACTATTTAATGAAAAAATATTATATTTATGTGTGTATGTAAAAACCTTAAATGACTCATAAATGAAGGTAGTAAAAACCATGGATCATGGATCATCTTTGGAATGAGTGAAACCTCAATAAATGAGTTCAAAGTTTTATCGATTTGGGTCTTTGACTTGTGTCATGACTTTATAATGTGACTTTCTTTTATTTACTCTATGTATTAATTGGATTCATTTTATTTTGGAGAAATAATTATTATTTTAACTTTTTAAAAGAATTTAAAAAAACATTTATGGATGTCCAAAAGTGGTGGAATCGCAACCTGATTGCATTTTTTAATTTCTTGTCCTTTTTAATTAAAAATATATATATATTTCAGCAAAAATATTATCTTTTAATATCACACTATTTTTAATAAGAAAAAAATGTTTAATTCATCTTTACCTTAAAGTATTTTCGATGTTTTCTTCCTTGTCTACTCCAATACATAAATTTTCAAACATCAAAAATACTTCACTACAATACTTTTTTTTTTTTTATCTTATAAAACTTTTTATAAACTTTCACTTATATAGAGTGTGTAAATTTTTTTATTACATTACACATTTCTTTCTTTCTTTCTTTCTTTTTTTTACTCTTTTACTCAAAATGCTATACAAAAATTGAGTATACAACTAACATTTTCAACAAAAAAAAAAAAATGAAAGAAAATCGGATGGCTTGTCAAGCGTACTGCAAGACAGCCTTATGAGTTATGACTATAACAATCTAACACAATTGAAGATATCATTTTATTTTAATAAGAGACATTCATTAAAAAAGAATTGTACTTCCTTTTATATATATAAATAATAACAACTACAACAAGAATGACGTAGACAAGAGTTAATTGGCAAATGAAAAATATTAATTGTTATCAATGACGGATTAATTTTTCTTCTGTTCAAGGGAAAAATAAAATAAAAGCCCACAATAATTAGAAAGATATTAATTTTTAGCGTTTATCAGATTTATGTGGGGGATCAGATTGTTTTTCAAAGTTATATACTGTCATGTATTATTTAATTGAAGCAATAAGGGGGCATTATTGCATAGAGCACAAAGTTCTTAAACTTCTAACAACTCTAGTCATTGGTCGTTTTAATGAGTTTAATGAAATTGTTCTGTTCATACGATTAGGAAGAATATGATTTGAAAAAATATTCAATAGTAATACCGACACTAAGTGAATCACATTTATGCACAATGCGCAGTACCAAGTCAACCTTTTTCAGATGGGAAAATAAAATGAATCTATTAAAGGGAGTTTTGATTTTAATGATAGTTATCTGGAAAGATTTAATTTATGTAGCAGATGGTGGAGAAAAAACAATTTTTTAAAGTGTAATGGAAACATTCAGATCCAAAAGCTTGCGGATAAGATTAGTTAGTCTGAAGTTTGAACATATTTGGTCTGCTTATGTCTTAATTAATTAAGTTCCAGGTGGATTCTTGTGCACCTCTAGAACAGTATAACATATATCTGCCCACTTGGTTGCCAGAAGAGTACATGCAAATGTATAACTGTTCATGGATTCTTTTTATTCCATGTCATTCCATCACTTTGTACGATATGTTCATTTATTAATGTATAAAAGGAGAATACTAACAGTATTTTTTTAACTAAGCTATTCTCTAACCGAAATTTATGAATTGATTTCTCCAAGTATCAGGATTTATCTAAGAGATCAGCTTTTTATAATGTTAATTAACAAATGTTTTTATAATGTTAATTGAGAATTAAATTTTTAAAAAGGTTATTGTAAATAAAATATAGACACTATAAAAAGAGTTGACTAGTATCAATAAAAAATTTACATTTTTTCAAATAGTGAAATAGCAACGCTAACTATAAAGAGTGTTGAAAAGAAAGTAGATGGAATACATGATATTTTTAAATTGTTCCATCTCAAAATTACCGAAATTACGCTTAGTTTTCAATAGAACTAAATTGAATTGCACTATCTTAAACTAGATATAAATATTCTTTCAACAAATCACTTCTAGCTCAAATTTAAGTGTTCGTATTCTTTTATAGTTAAGTCTCTCCAAAATCAAACAAGTATTTTTTTAAAGACAATTCTTTCCAGACTCAAATAACAAGTATTCTTTAACAAATAAATATCTCTAAACTTAAACAATAAGTGTTCTTTTACAAACACGTCTCTTTAGGCTTAACCCTATAATAACAGTCATATGATGGTAAGGTTAAAAAAGTTGTTTCGTGATACAATGAGTTTAAGTACAAAGAGCTTTAAAGAAAGAATAAAAGAATTTGAATATGTTTAATGCAAATGTTTGCAATAAAAGGTTCTACATTAATTCTTTTTTATCGTAAAGCTTCTTATATAGTAATCTGGATGAAGATGACCATTGCAAAATCTTGAGAATTCCTTACAAACTTATTTCATCTTCGTATAGGTTTCTTAAGGTGAGAAGTATCCATTGATGCATTAAATGTGTTTCACCAAATTATCATTTCTTATCTGATTAAACGAATTATTTATAGCGTGTGTCAATGATAAGTAGGTTTTGCATCAACTTTTAATAATTTTATTCGTGATTTCAATGATTTGTTTGTTCTTGATTCTAATACAAAGAATGTTTTCATTTTTTTTTCATAGATTTACGAGTTCCAAAAAAATTTCTTAGTTTGATCCGTTAAAAAATCACTTAGACAGACTTATAAATAATAAACATATAAGACTTTATAAAGACTGATTGTATGTTTTGTTTGATAAGATGTTATCTCTCTAATAATTTACATCTTATGTTTCATTTGATCAACATTTAACAAAAACATTTTATCTTAAAAAAAGTTATGTTTATTATCATTAAAATTTAAAATTTTGAGAGATTTAACATCGTTTTTTTACTTAACAATTATAAAAAAAAATATTATTGATACACTTTTATCATGATTTCTAATTCACTTTTATTTATAAATTGTTTGTTTGCTTCCTTGTTTATGAAAATATGTTAAATGCAGTAATTGTCCTTAATAAAAGCCGTTTATTTTGAGTTTATCATTTTCAAAAATAAGGATAACGGATGACGCATTTTGATAATGGGCTCTAGAGATATACTTTATTTTTTTTAGTAATTAAAAGTGAACATTATACCATAGGGAGTTAAGAATATTTAATCCCAAAAATTATCCACATTAATTTTTTAATAGGTCAGTCAAAAATACTTTTATAATTATTTATTAATTTAAATTAGTAAAATAAAATATTAAATAATTTTTAATCTTTTTAAAAATTTATAAATTTAATTTATACATTAAAATTTTTTAATTTAATGAATGAATAGTTAAAACTCAATATAAATAATGAGTTATTAAATAAAATAAATTTACTAAAACTTAGTAATCCCTCTCTGATGCTCAAGTTAGTGTTTGTGCCGCCCTTCGCGTACATCTGCCTGTCGAGATGTCATGTGTCATAGCCGTCACGGTTTTGTCCTTGAAAAGGTACCTTAGTGGGTTAAGGAGGAAGGGTGTTTATAAACTACTCTTAGTCTTGACTCCTGAGTGATGTGGGACTTTTAGCATTACTGGAACTGTTATCAATAGAAGATCACCCTGGTTCAATACATGCTCATAACCCGTTTGTTGTAGCAGTTTCGGAAAAGAAAAAAAAAAGAAAGAAATTAAAATCAATAGACAAAGTTAACTTTACGATGAATCTCGTGAATGCTTCCTGTGACACCCCATCCTTCTAGACCTCACAAATTTAACTCGGAAACAAAGTAGTAAGATATTTTCATAATAACTTAGTGTGTGACAAAAACACTTGAGCCCTAATAACCTTAGCTTTGAGTTGACTTTGGTGAAGACGCAGGATGTTATTTGAACTACCCTCCAATTATCCTTTCTTTGTTGTATTATGATGATGATGATAGCATCCTCTTGTTCATTCATAGTGAGTTTGGTCACACATGGACGTGATTTTTCATACCTGAGTACAAGTTCTCAGTTCTAGCTTTCCCGTCTTTAACAGTTTTACTAAGGAATAATGTTTTTGGGCGCAGTAGGATAAAGTTTGTGCAGTGGAGTTCCTAATTTGGCATTCAGCATCAGTTATTTGTCACTGTCTAGAGAGTGATAGTGTTGGGTGGACCCATCACCCGATTTTCAGGACTTGATCATGAATCTTGAGTTAACAAGGACGATAGATAAAGGGGGCCAACCCAACGTGTTCCTGAAAGCGAATTTGTGACATATGAGTGAGACTGCCCCTTCAATAACAAACCATATCACGCTGAGCTTTTAAGGACATCTGGTGAATGGTAACCACTAACCAGTACAATGTGCTTCCTCATATCTCCTCATTTACCAGCTATTGCCTATTCTACTCGTGACCTATGAGCTAGCACCATCACCTTCAATAATACTGTCCTTTATGATTCACTTGCTTATAGTAGACAGACAAATACAACACTGCCTGCTAAGAATAAGATGGATCATTCTACCCTCACTATCCGATATCCATTTAAGTGGTGCAATGCTCCTTTCATTGGATGTTAAAACTTGAAAACACAATCCATATTTTATTATTCAATATTGAGTCTAATTTAAAAACTAATTCAAGAAAACATTATTTTGATCATATCACTGCCATCAGATCCCCTTCATATTAAAGTTTAAACATCTTTATAACTTTAAAATATATGATTTTATGTTTATTTGATAATCACCCAATAATAGATTATTATTCACCATGGTAGATAGTAATATCATCTTATAATTTAAATTTTAAATTTAACCCATCCTCAAAAATTAGTGCATATATATTATTTTTTGTTATAATTTTAGGTTTAACTGAACATAAAAATTAGTGAAGAAGGTGAGAATTACCCTTTACTTATACATATTATTTTTTATCTCATTAGTTAATATGAAATTTCTTTCGTCCAATAATATCAAAAGATTATGTAAAGACTGGAAACCCCTGACAAGAAAATGTTGATGATGGAAGTATGAGATTAGAAGAACTGAAGGTCATACATAAGCCACGAGGCATGGGCGTTAACTGGTAATGGCCAGCACAAGCATTGCTAGTAAATTTTTGTTTTCTCTTTTTATTTTGCAACTACTAGTATGCTAGTACACGTGATAACATAAATGGGCCCCTAGTTCTTTTTGGAAAGCAAATCCCAAGGCTTCAATGAAAGCCCATAACGACAAAAGAGTAAATAGTGGCAGAAAAGAAAAGCTACCACAAAATTGTTCCTATATGGTATAAAATGACTTGCAAGCATACAAGCCTGAAAAATCAAAATTGTGACTGTGATTTCCATTTTTATGAATCTAGCCTGCCGCGTCTCTTCTTATGTCAGTTGTAACTTCACCACTAGTTGGCCTGCAGAGTTTCAAAACAATAACATATTTCAGAAAATAGAGAATTAAAGCTTATGTTTAGTTCAGCACATGATTTACTTTCAGATCCTCAGGATGCGTTGACATAAATGTAGGCAACAAAAGGCCCAAATGTTAGGGTTGGTTCTGAGCTTATCAAATAGAACAATAAAAAAACCACTGGTCGATAGCATAAATATTAAGATAGATGAACCTATAAAATCTCTATTATATTAAAGCATAACAGTTGACAATTTGCAAATTTATCAAGTTATGATGGTTCACCAAAGTATGAATTATGTGAAAGAGTATTTCTCTGCCAAAGAAAATAACCCAAAATGACTAATTTCTATAGCCCTCCTCCCCACCCACTATCTAAGTTGCCTTGCATAACAACCTTGCCAGCTCGGCAATTCTATTTATTCTCCCTTCCTACAACTTTCATTTCTTATGCATATTTTCACTTTCCAAACTTTTGGGCTTCTCATTATTTGGGCCCAAGAGCAGGTCTCTATCATCATTTAAGATACTTTGTGATCAAGCACTACCAGCCAGCGGCTAGTGCATAAGTTTGCAAGCCATGGTATTCCATTCTCAGCATTTTAGTTTGTTAGCATAATTTTATGAACTATCTTATCTATAATATTACTACCTCCTTACTACAGCAACTCTAGCACATTTGTGACCACGCAGTACCAGCCGGTGGCAAGAAGTTTGCAAGCCATGGTATTCCATTCTCAGCATTTTTGCTTGTTAGCCTAATTTTATGAGCTACCTTATCTATAATATTACTACCACAACCTTACTACAGCAACTCTAGCATATCAACATGCTTAACTACAATAAAGCCTTTCCATATTTTTTGGCATGCTAAATGGTAAGTCATGCAAATCAGTTGAGTTAATTATTATTTAATTAGACGTTACAATTCTATCATTTCTGTTTTAATTAGAGGTTACAATTTCATGTAAATGTGCTGTAAATATAAATAACATCTCTCAGATGTAAGTATTTATAATGTTTTTCTGCTATAAATATTTGTCCGTCTTCCTTCTTTTCCTAATGGAAAACCCCTAATGGCTATTGGTGGGAGATAGGGTAGTATACACATAGTTTTACATTTGAATTGTTGTCATTGTAATTCAAACCGATAAAAAAAATGATAATGGAATGCCCAAAATAGACTAGAATGTATAACTGCCCAGAACTTTGAGAGCTTGGTCTCTCCCCCAATTATGTTACAATTTTCCTCCTCCTTCTCATTCCCCTTGATGTCCCTTTTTTTAATATCACTTCTATTATTTCTAACAATTCTGATACAATGACAGTAATGGACCCATCTAATTACACACTAACTGGATTGATCCCATCAAATTTGGGCTTATTCCTTATCCTTCTACAGTGTACATTTTTAATTGGGGGTCTAACAGTTTACTTCTCTCTAAAGCAAAGCATTGTGCAAATAACTCGATCACTCTTTCAAAATAGCACTTCAAAAACAACACGACCATTTGGTTAAGTCAAGACCAAAGGCATAGAAAACCATAAACATAGGTGATACAAATATATATGTAATTCATGCAATACAAAATGCATACATAAACAACAATATGATTTCTCACAATATCAAACGAGAATATATTTCATATTGACAACTAAAAAAATCACATGATCAACTCCCAACCTCCTCTCCCTCCAAGGCCGCAGCCTCATATACCAGGTGCAATAAGTGGAAATGATTGTGTAACAATATCAAGATCCAAACTTATTAAGGCTTTCTTATTTTGTAACCATTAAATTAATTAATTATCTATATCTTTCTCCAGTTTTGCTCTCTTCCTTTGGTTTTTGGAGAGGGCGAGACAGAGTACATCATAAAATATAATCATGACTTAGAATATGAACTTGCAGATTCAAAATTAGTTGATAATAATATTATAAAACAAACTATTGAATCTCACTTAAAAGTTTAGGGAGTGATACACTTACAATCCACCTAAAACTTTGATGGTGTCATAAAAAAACCATTGCAATGTTATAGAAGGACCAACCAGCAACATTCTAATAGGAAGGCTCCTGGTAAATAAATTGGCTAGTCCAATATGTCTGATAGCCTGCGCACAGAATAAATAGAACACATTTAGTTTGATCTCTCACACCTCCAAAGAAAATATCATAAACTAAATTGTAACGAAACAAATACCAGTGCAAGACTATCAGCCTTTCTGTTATAAAGAGAAGATACAATATTGTCAGCGGGATTAGAAACAAAGCTACCAACAGATCCCGCTGCATATCCAGCTAAACATGTCACACCAAGTTGTTGACCAATTGAACAGTCCTCCTTTTTTCTTTTGACCACGTTTTGATACAAAAAATCAACAGAATGCTCGAAGGTTGAGAACATAACCATGGAAACTGCTCAAAAAATAAGCAGAGAACTTAATATTCAGTTCATATATGGACAGCAGCTATAGTTTAAGCTCAGTCTCACTGAAACTACATATTCCATCGCCATCCTACCTATCACAAGAACATGGCCCGATATATATTTGGATACTCAGTATGCAACTCAATTGTTATTTTTATTAATGGAAACTAATGCCTATAACCAGATCAGTCAAATAGTTACTTAAACTTCAATGTACATAATAATTTAACGATTTAACAAAGAAAAGGAACTTTTTTCAGGAAGTATAGCAGTAATGATAAAGATACAGGAATATATACTGCAAACAAAAGCCACATGTTACAATTTCAGTAATTTTCTGGCAGACAGCTATATGCTAAAATGGTAAAACCTAAAAAGTTACCCAAGACAGAATGGCATCCATATTGATGTGAAAATATTACTGATGTCTCTTTACTTTCTAAATAAAATTATATTACCCTGACTAGTGTAGAATTAAATTAAACTTGAAGAGATTATGAAATTACATGGAATGTTTCGACCCAAAAGTGGAATTAGTCCACGGTAGAATCTGCAAGTAGTAGATTGAATAGAAGATAAATAATCACAATAATCATGTCCCAATTACAGATGCACTCCAAGTAAAAACTAAGAACTAAATTTTTCTTTACCCTCGTGTGCCTTCTGATGCATATAACTTTGGAAAGCCATCAAACAAGCCCTTAGCAAAACAGGGTTGTGCTTGAACCCTCACTTTAACAGCTTCAAATGGACACAGAGCTACATTGGCAAACACTTCAGCAGAAGCACTACTAAGAAAGAAAACAAGACTCTTGTGCTGGTCTACCAATACGTTGGAATAAACCCCTTTAAAATACTCATAGAGGCCAAATCTGCATCCTCCTTGAGCGCCATAGCCAAAAAACTTGCCAGTCCAACCTTTCCAAAGGACAGAAGGCCCTTGTTCCCTCAATAAGGTAGTAAAGCATGAGGAAATACTGTAATACTTAATTGGGTGCACCTACATATGATCAACATCACTTCCCCGTCAACAAATATGATCGAATCAACAACTAGTATTTGAGTAAATTACACCAACACCTCCCTGAACTTTCATGAAATTAACATATACACTAACCTCCATTATCCCTTATAGGGGTCACAATATAATGTTTTTCAAATCATTAAGGATGGTTAATGTAATGTATAAGGGGTGTTATAGTGTAATGTTTTTTAAACAATCAACGAAATCTAATGTGGGTGCAATTTACTCCTATTATGTCTACACATTAGGGTGAAAAAACATCCCATAACTCATCTCACCGTCATCCCATAGGAGCAGCCAAAAAATTCAATCTTTCAATATTTTTTCTATAACACAACAAGTGTAACAAAAGGGTAAAGTGATTCCCACTTCAATTTTTTTTTTGTCACTTCCCCCATTTCTTTTGTGTACCCAGAACCATACACTGATACTTCCAAGTACGAAAACCCATTTAAGGTGTTCACCTCCCTCAGCATCAAACATACTAAAACATAAGAGACTAGAAACTTTCCCTGTTTCTCTACCCTAATAAAACATTATTTGTGGAACAACTGAGTTAACAGAATGAAATGAAAGTTTGAAGTGCACCTGCATGTTGACTTTCAAGACATCAAGAGGAGTGATGGCAAGGTGGGTGGTGCCAGCACTGAGCATTCCTCCAATGGCACAAAGGGCATAATACCTAGGCGTTAATTCTTCGCAGATTCTTCTATCCATGACTATGACACGCTCTCAAAGCCCCTCTAAACGACGAAAGTTGATAGCTTTAGTGTAAAACCCACACCCCAACTCCATGTATTCTTCCACACTCACGTGTTTTTTATTTACCAATCAATGAAGAAGAAAAAGGGCAGTCATTTTGCTCCTTCATAAGTTTCCGGCTGAGAAGGAAACAAAATTTAAGGTTGTCAGAGTGACACGCAGTTGTTTGAATCTGATTCTAAAGAAACGCAAAACCCAATAAAACTTATACCCCGTTTTCTTGGAATTTCTTCGCCCTTTCCGGAAAAGTTAGTCCAGTTAGGCAGGTACACCTCAAAATAGGAATTTTCAAAAACCCTACTTATTTTTTTTTTCCAATTATAATCAATATAAGCATCAATATTTTTTTTTTAAAATCTATGAACAAAATTTATTTTGTTTTTAATTTTTTTAAAATAAAAATTGAAGTCACGTTACATTATAAATTGTTTTTTTTTATTTTTATATTCGTAAAAAATATTTGTTAAGTCGTGTTTAATATGTCGACTTAAATTTTTTATATAAAAGTTACAGACACGTTTTGATTAACGAAAAATAATATATATATATATATATAACAAAGTCGATTTTAAGTAAGAGATTTTGTATATAAACACGACTTTACTTTGAAGTCGCCTTTATACACACAACAATGGTATATATTAAAATTATTTATATAATAATTAAAAATTTTATTTGCAAATTTTTTAACAAATTTAATTCACAAATTAATAACAAATTAAATTTTTATAATTCAAAATCTTATAATTTTTGTTTTAAAATACTTTTTGATTAACATTTTTTGTTTATAATATAATTAATATTTATTAATAATATTGTTACATTGTATATTTTGTTAGTTGCCGTTAATTTTATTAAAAATATGTTGTGTTTGTTTGTTGTTTAATTTTTAGGAACTTTAAAATTAAGAAATTTATAAAGAATTTTAGTTGTATAGAGGTTTCTCTTCGGAGAAATTCAGTTTGATTTGTAAGAAGGAATTTATTCAAGACATTACTTTAGAAAATGACTTTATAAGTTTATTTTTTCAAAAAGTTAGAGAAAAACCAGAAAGAAGAGCTTTGAAGCTAGGATCCTTTCTTTTTCTTCTTCCTTTCCTTTTAGAATAAACTTGGTGACTAAGTAGTGATTCTAGCTCCTTCATTGAGAATTAGAGGTGTGATTGGGGTGTGTAGAGCTTCCCGATGATAGCCAGTTCATTTTCATCTATCTTTTTCCTTGTGTCTCTTCGATCTGGAGGCAAGGGAAGCTAGAAGTCGAAACTTTGTTGATTGTTTAAGTTGTATGTTGTTGAATTGTATCCAAATCGTAGTTGTATTGGTGATTGAGTGCTAAAACTCATGTTTTTATGAGTTTTGGGTGTTTAAAGTGTGTTGAGGTGATTTTAGCTAATTGGTGGTTGCATGTTGTTATTTTGGTGAGAAATGAGTTGTATGTGATGATTGGATATGAATGATTGTGTTGCATGCTTAGAATCTTGAGTTTCAAATGAATTAAGCAATTTTGTGAATCTGCCAAGTGTAGAATTCATCATCTTGTCGAGTTCAACTTCAAGATGTTGGGCATTATGTAAGCTAGAGGCTCTCTACCTCACTCTCATCAGACGTGAGATTGATAGTGTCGGACGCGAGTTAGAAGAAAGCTTTCTGACTTGGTCACGTTGGACGAGGGTTGAATGGTGTCGAATGTGGATGCCTTTGGAGCTCTCTAACTTGGTGATGTTAGAGCCTAATTGAGTGGTGTCAAGCATTATCAAAACAAAAACTCTCTATCTATATGACACTGAGCACTAGCCTAGTTACATCGAGCATGAGTTAAGCAAAAACTCTCTACTTGAAATGAGATCGAATGTGAGTTTTGGGCACGCCAGGCATGAGAACAATATAGACTCTCTACCTCATCCATATCGAGTGCAAGTTAAGTGACATAGGGCGTGGATGAGCCAAAGGCTCTTTGTCCCATTTCACGTAAGGTGCAAAGAGAATGGTGTCAAACATGGGTTACCTAATGAAAGGGTGTTCTTTTTTGCTAAGTGTTGAACATAATGTGGGTAAGTAGTGGTGTTACATGTTGTATGTTGATGTATGATGTTGAATCTTAATAAATTGATTTGGGATAATATATATTGATGCTTAAATTGTTGATAGTTGTATGTTGAACATTGAGGTGGTTGAGTTGAAAATGCTTAAGGCATGGTGTTGAGTTATGTTGATTGACTTAAGATTAGAAGAAAAACTATTTTAAAAGTTGGATATCTCATTTTGAGAATATTATTGTGATGCTCTACGGGCCTAGTTAAAAACTCTTCTTGCGAAGTTGACCCTTAAAGCAGATAGTTAAATCTCCTCTAAGATCTTAGTTGATGAGATATGTAGGTAAGGTTGATGCATACTGTCTATAAGTGACCACAATATAAGGGTTAGGGCGAGTTATATTGATTCTAAAGCGACCAATATTGATCCGTATAGGAGTCAGGTCGAACCATATGTGTACAAGGTAGGGGGCCAAAATTCTTAACTAAGTACTGAAAAGGGCATCGTATTTAAAGAGTAATTGGCGAATTAATCATATAAGAGACTTAGTTATGTATGCTAATGTCATGGTAGGTCCACACCTAAGTTGTCCTACCTTGATAGAAATACTAGACCTTCCTAACTTAAGTGGAAAAATCTGAGAAATCATATTGTTGTGGATTGTTATCCAAATGGATATCAATTCCACAACACAATATGATTTATCAAATTTTTTCACTTAAACTATGAAAGTCCAGTATTCCTATTAAGGTTAAGAAAACTTGAGTGTGAGCCTACTATAGTCTTGGTATGCATAATAAAGCCTATTATGGAATTAACCAGTCGACCACCTTCCAAAAACTTAGTTAAAAATTTTGGTCTCCAATCTTATACCTTACTCAATTTGGTCATTTTATACAAGTATGACTCGACCTTGCTTCCACACAGATCTACATTTGGTCACTTATAATCAATATGGCTTGACTTGACCCCCATACTGTATCAATTAAAGACCTAGAAGAGACTCAAAATTTCACTTTAAGAGTCAACTTTTCAAGAAAGATTTTCAACAACTAGGATTATAGAGAACCATAACACCATATCCTCACAATGGGATATTCATATTTTCTAAACACCTCTTCTCTAATTCTAAGTCAATCAACGTAACTCAACTCTATGCAATAAGCATTGTCAACATAGCTATTTCAACACCACACAACATATAATTCCACTATAGTTCTACTTACCACTTTAAGCAACTTATATATCAACATACATCATCCTATAACAATATACAATAAACTAGTACCATATAACAATATACAACATGTGAGTAACTCAATCTACAAACCACATGTTTAACATTTAGCCAAATAAACAACACATTTTCATTAACATCTCGCATCCAGTGTCATTCTCATTGTGTTTAGTATTAGTGAGATAGAGAGTTTGTAGCTCACCCATGCCCAATGTGAATGAGATAAAGAACCCTTGTATCAGTCACGCCTAACATGACTAATTTCATGTCTGGCCTTATTCAAGTAAAAAGCCTTTATCTGACTTACGCCCAATGTTACAACACTAGCCTCAATGTCGTCTAAGTAGAGAGCTATATATTGCCTTGATCACGCCTGATGTCACTCAACTAAGACCCGATGTCATCAAGTCAAAGAGTTCTCGAGGCACTCACACTTGACACCCCTCAACCCATGCCTGGCGTGACTAAGTTAGATAGCTCTCCTCTAACTCATGCTTGACACTATCGATCTTGCACCCTATGTTAATAGGGTAGAGAGCCTTTGACCTTCATCATGCTCAACGTTACGAAGTTGTGTTTGGTGCGAAGTTGAATTTTGCACTTGGCAGATTCATATTTTGGCTCAATCCACTTGAAACTTGGAAAAATCCCAACATGCAATACCAGATATTACTACTACACATCTTAAGCAACTCATTCAACTTTAGATTTAACATACAACCATCTATCATTAGCTATTATCAATTTACTTCTCATAAGAGTAAATAGCAAATCTCAAACTTAACTCCAATCAACAAAATCTACTCAATCAATTCAAGAATTATTCAAGTAGAAATCAACAAGGACAACACTGAATCAACAAATTACAAGCTCCTCTCACCTCTGAACACTCTAGACAAAGGAAGAAGAAGGAAATAGAGTTTCTCGAGCTAACTCTGCATAATTACTACAACACTATAAGTTTATACTCTAGGAGCTTTGAATCTCCAACTAACAAATCTACTCTCACGGGAAGGGTGGAGGAATTTCATGAAGTCAAAAGAGAAGATGGTTCTCTTTGAGTTCCAAAGTTTCTCTCTCTAACTTCTCTTTAAGTTTTCTAAAGAAATGAACTTATGAAATCAATTTCTTAAGAAAGACCTCATACATCCTCCCCTAACTAGTCAACTTAACCTTCTATCAAAACAAATTCAAAATAACAAATACTCATTCAAATTCCTAAATCCTTAGAATTTCACAACAGTTAAACAATTAATCACAATGTCAATTAAATTAATAAAATCAATCATTATTGATAAAAGTCATGGTGTTACATTTTACATAATTAATAAGGGTAAAAATATAAAAAAATGATCAACCTCTATACATAAAACATATATAATTATCGTGTACGAGAGTATTTTTAGAGATGTTTTTTCAATAGGAGAGTTTTTTAAAAAAATTTAACTTCATATTTAATTTAATTTAATTTATCATAATTACTTATTAATTAAATTTTAATATTGTTTAAATAAATTATCAATAAATAAAAAAATTTGCATTACAATATAAATTATTTATTATAAATATTAAATATAATTTATATATTTAAAAATTATATTTATTCAAATTTTAAATATAGTTTAT